GTCAGAAATATTGGGTTGGCACATAAGTACTTTCGTTTTTTTCAACCGGAAATTTCGTTCCAAAGATGAAATGTTTTGCTAGCAAGCTTGATATCATCTGATAGGAAACTTCACGTAGTTTTAGAATATCAAAACGGCTTCGGTTGAGGGAATAATTTTTGTGGATTTTTTAGTCGTTGAAGTTGAAAACGAAAGTCGCGAAAATTAGCACCTTCGACAACTGCCTCTATTTACGTATAGTCGAAGTGCTAAAATCGCTTAAGCTGCTCCATACATTTGGAAAAGGTCGAGCTAGAAGTTCCAGCAAGGGAATCTCACTAGGACGCTTTGGAACGAATTTCAAAGATTTTGAAGTTACCAACCTTCACCTCGCCGATATTGGGCAGCTCACGTCTGTTCCACCTAAAATTTTATGCTAATATTTGAACGTTTCGCTGATATGTTTTGCATGTTCTGATAGCAAATTTCATGCTCTATAAACTACTATAGAAATCTGTTCTCCAGAGGTGTTTGCTTTCTGTTAAGTTCAGGTTATCATTACGGAACGCGAAGTCGTTGAGAACTAGGGTTCCCGTTCTCCACGAATTTTATGCTAACATGAATATTTCGCTTAATGTTTTCTATATGTTTCTTATAAGCCAACTTTTCGTCTCTATAACACTGCGTTGCAGTATTTTTTTGAAAAACCATTTTGAGCGAACCTTGGTTTTCAGGTTTGTAATGTGAATGGCAGGGGTCGTATAAGCAAAACACTTCAGACATTCTCCCCTTTCGCCAGTTCAACAGAGGTTATCAGATGTGCTGATGCTGCTTAGGAAAAAATTGGCGAAAGCTGTACGCGAGGAAGCATTGCCCTCTCTCTCTCAAAACAGCCCAAAATTGGTTCAGACGCTTCAAGGATGGTACTGATACCTCTGTTGAATGCGAAAAGGAGGAGATGTCTGAAGTGCTGATGCTTATCGACCTGACATTCCATATTATCCACCTGAAAAAAAGGTTTCATCAAACGGATTTTCAAAATAACTGCAACGCGAAGAGGGTTATATAGAGCACGAAATTGGCATAGTCAGAAATCTTTATAAAGAACACATTTAGCGAAAAACATCAAATTGTTAAGCCATAAAATTTCGTGGAGAACAGGGAAACCTCAGCTTCTCAAACCGACTTCGAGTTCTTCGTAATGATAACCAGAATTACCCAGAAAGCAAAGCACCATCCAAAGAACAAAGATTAACTTATACGCTTCCGTAGAGCAGGCAAATTTGCTATGCAAACTCCATGCCAAACAATCAGCGAAACATTCAATTATTAGCATAAAAATTTTAGGATTCAATGGAACAGACGTGAGCTGCCCAATATCGGCGAGGTGAAGGTTGGTAACTTCAAAATTCTTGAAATTCGTTCCAAAGCGTCCTAGTGAGATTCCCTTGCTGGAACTTCTAGCTCGACCTTTTCCAAATGTATGGAGCAGCTTAAGCGATTTTAGCACTATCAATTACGTAAATAGAACAGTGTCGAAGGGGCTTAATTTTTCGCCGACTTCGTTGTTTCTTTTAACTTCAAACGACTAAAAAATCCACAAAAATTATTCCCTCAACCAAAGCCATTTTGATATTCTAAAACTACGTGAAGTTTCCTATCAGATGATATCAAGCTTGCTAGCAAAACATTTCATCTTTGGAACGAAATTCCGGTTGAAAAAAAAAAACGAAAGTACTTATGTGCCAACCCAATATTTCGTGACCATCTTTCAACATCACTTCCACGAACCGCCTTCTCTCAATCCAAAACCAAACACTACCCCCCGAAATTTTAACGTCGCCCCCCCCCCCTCCACCTGAAATTCTATCTCCATCGTCGAACCAGCTAGGCTACAAACTTACAGCACTATAAGACGCCCAAAAAAAGCCTGAAACCTTTGAGAACAAACAAAAAAACCTGCCGATTTTCGATGAGAAATTTTCCACCCCAACACTCGCGCCAACCCTCACCCACGCAGCCAGCCAACCCAAATACGACCCCCAGAGGTTTGAATCTCACAATAACATGGTGCCGCTTGTACCTTACACTTTGGGCCTTCAATCACTTCAGGACCCGCCACGCCCCACCTTTACGCACACAATGCCTCTAATTATGTGCTTAACAAAGGGAACCCAATTCGGCAAAAAGAAACTTTGACCCGGTAGAACTTCAGAGGGCAGCTATTCCTGTCGAGACCACCGGGAGACGCTCTCAAACCCCGCGATCCGCCTGCGACGAAGGGACTGGCGGGAGCTAGAGTACAAACTCTTCAAACCGAGAACCCAAAGATCATAAGCTGTCGTTTCTAAAGCGTTGTTCATTGCAACTTCTAGTGACTACTGCATTTCTAGAATGGACTAAAGCGATTGAGGAAACGTACAGCATTTCACGGTGCGAGTTGAATTCAGCTATGATTGTCTTACGATCGACCTTTTGTGGCAACGAGACCTTCATCCATACCTAGAAAGGGCAGACATTCCAGATGTACCTTCAAAACTTTGATCAGAAAAAGAACTCGGACCTTGCTCAAAGCAGCCTTCGTTGGCACAAGGTACAGTACAGGTGCAGGTGAGTCGAGATAGGCAACCGACAGAGGTACTGAGGGATTTGGTCGCAATCCTGAATCCACTTTTTATAGTAGAAGAATTGTCATAAAAGGGCCGAAAAACTCACGATCTGTGGATCGACATCGCCCAAGAGAGAATTCTTCGATGTCCGAACAATCGCATTCGAATGTTAGTTGACGGGGTTCAGTGGGACGACAACGGACACCGGACGGGCACGAAGGTGAGCAGCTAGGGCAGCCAATCTGTCAAATTTAGCTGATAACTGAGCAGTGCGGTGACAGCAAAAATAGTTTCTCCTTCAGTTAACCATATTCTAGCTCGAATTGAATCCCTTATGGCGCCAATACAGTTTTATCTCATGACTGACTCACTGATTTTTATGAGTAAATACAAATATTGTCCTCTCATCGAAGGCTGAATTGCGTGAATTCATAGCAAAGGTCTTGGGAAACGAAGGCGGATTCCACAATAATCGGAGGGGCGTGGAGATACATAAAGTAAAGTATGGCCCTCGAGTTCCTCTTTGGAATGCATTCTCCGTCCGTTCACACTCGTAGCGG